GTTAAAAGTAGATTTTGTTTATTTCTTTAAATACGATATTACTCCTTTTATATAATAAAAAATAATTTTTATAGCATAAAAAATATATTTTTATATTTACGTGAAATAAAAAATATTTGCTTTATATGAATTATAAACTCTGTAAATGATATGAAGATCTCGATAATACATTGAAAATACATCTCGACTTTGATTTTAATACATCTTGACGTTGATTTGACATTGATCCGAAACATGCGTAGTAATCATCTTAAAAGAGTTAGTAATAATTGACCATAATACTACATAAGTGGTATCAAGTTCAAACGTCAAGAAGAGGTAGTATTTCCTGTACATCAATTTAATAGATAGTTTATCAGTTATATTCTAAACACACATAATTATTTTCTTAACTATTATTATAATGTCATTTATCTCAATTTAACATGCATGTATTTATAACTTAACGACTATCGTCATTGAAAATAAAATATCGAGATAAAATATCTTTTAAAATCAGTTTTCACAAAATCACGAAATATTTCAAACAATATCACGATATAAACTGATTTTTCTACTTAACCATCCAATTTTTTATTAAATTTTTTATTAAATATCATAAAAAGAAACGTTAAAGAAATTAATATAACGTTATAATCCTATATATAAGTAATAAATATATATAGGTAATAAATATATATATATAGGTAATAGTGATTTTTTTAATAAATGACATGGCAATTTTTTGCTACCTAACATGATGCCACAAAAGTGAAAACGTGTAGCCGATGAAGCGTCGAGAACAGGGACGTGAAATGCGTTCATAATGTGAACGTGACTTCTTCACTATTTTTATAACCTAGAAATTCTACAAAATTTTTATTTTGACATTTTTAATGTCAACCCTCTTTTACATTGAATAAAATTCTCCGTATCTCCGTCTGAAATATGAAAAGCTTAATTTCATTTTTCAACAGAATTTAATTACAATGTATTTTAATTAAAATTCAAATAAGACGTTAATAATAATATTTTACGAATAATATATATATATATTTTAAATAGAAATATTTTAAATAGAATGTAGAATAATTATGATCTTTAAATTCCTATTATATCATAAACATATCTAGAAATAACATTTATAGTGTACATTTCATTATGTATAAGCTCAATTATAAATATAAAAATTCAAGCAGAAGCATAGCAGAATAAATAATTTCATTCATTGAATTCTAGAAATGAAATAATAAAAAGAAATTATAAAATAACGTAACATAAAAATTGGTTTCTTTCTAAAATTAAACAAAAAAAGATAAGTTATTTTTGCATCGATACGATAATTATCGCGATAGTCGTTCTCCTTCGATTTGATTGATTTGACATGTGTGATTTAAATTGATCCTAAAGGAATCTGGACGATCACGATCGTATCGTTTAAGAGAAAACAAGTATATCACGTACAGTTAAGGTGATTAAGACCGGATGGATGAGCCATGTTCCGGTGAGTGACCTGCATTCCAGATACAGTATTAGTCGAATCGAGACGTGATTGATGTATACAGGATAACAGCATTTCACACATAGCTATCTATGCTTAATTTCTTAAAGATAGTTATTTGGAAATAATTTTGAAATTCTTTTGACATTCCATTAATTTTCCAAATGGAAAATAATCATATTTTTCAAATATCAATGACGTTGAAAAGTCCACTTATATTTTATGTCATGAATAAATTGTAAATTTTTACGTACATTTCCTTAGAATTTAAAGAATAAAAATGTATAAAAAGTATTTAAAATAAAGTTTCCATTATCATTATCTAATAATTTTTCATTATCTAATAACTGAAACAAATTTTAATTTCCAGATTTCATTTCTTTCAAGTTCATTTCATATTTTTAAAAATATTGGGTAATTTGTATAAACTCATGTGTAATTGTTAATTTAATGTGTTATTTTAATGTTTGAAGATGTCATTCTATAATTCTTCCTAATTATTTAAACAGCAGTTTTTTCCTTAAGAATTAATGAGTTCTTTATTATTAATTCGTTAATAAATCAAGAATTCATAAAGTTTATTTTCCTTAGAAATAATTAATTTGTAACATATTTTAAGCAAAACTTGCAAGAAGGAACATAAACTTTTATATGAATATTAAATGATGAGAAAAACCTTTATGGGCAAAGATTCATATATTTAAAGGATAATATGAGAAAAGTTTTATTGTATGATTATCTACAAACGCTTTAAAATTAAAATAGTTTTAACACACAATCTGAAATAAAAAAAATTTTGATTCATTTCTAGTAGAAAAAAATATTTCATAATTACATGGATTATAATGATATACAGTCGATGTTATTTCTCTTTCAAACGTTCGTTATTACTACATTGATTTATCAATGCGCAAATACGAATATTTTTTAGCATATACAAATAATTCTGCATAATGTTTCATATTTGTTGATACGATTTTTAATAACTTTTTATCGATAATTTTGTGAATTCACTAATATTTTATTGTATTCAAAATATTGGAAATTTTCGGTATTTTTCAGAATTATGAGTGGTACATCATATATTCGATGTATTAAATAATAACGAAAACTTCACTTTGTTATTTGAGTTTTATAAAATATTTATTGTAAAATATATAATATACATAACGTATATTAAAAATATAATTCTACATATATTTAATAACATATAAATAACACGTACTGATTATGTATGATTACATTATCCATCAAGATTTTTTCGAATTATGATATATGACATCAGTGAAATTGTAATATTGTATAATTATATAATTAAACATATATTATTCTTTAAAAAAGATTCTGTAAAAATAACTGTAGTAAGGAACGATAAAACAATTAATTTTCTAAATTTTTTTTAAATTAATAATAAAAAACTCATTAATTCTTAAGGAAAAACATTTTTTTTAAATAATTATTTTTTGATAAAATATTATTATTTATTGTTATACTAATATTTCAAACTAGAAAAATAAAAGTTTTATATTCTAGCTTAAGATAAAATTATATGTTAATTAAATTTCTAATAAATCATTCCTTAATTCATAATTCATTTGAAGAATTTCTCATTAGAAGGATAATTACAAGGGAATTAATATAAAATAAAAAATAAAAAAATAAAAAGAATTGTTATACTTAACAAAGAAATTGTGACAATTCATACTATCATGGTAGTACGAATAGTATAATCATAAGATTATCTAGGTTAATGTACTAGTTAAAATCAAATATTTTTTAAAATTAAAAATATTCTGAACTTTAATAATAATAACTAAAAAAATAATAATTTAAAAAATAATGATTTTATTTCTTTTTCAATTCTATTTCATTCGTACTGGCAATGTGTTTGTATAATTCGTTATTAATTATTGCATAACATGGCTGTGCACCAACATAAATTACCATTTTAAAAAGAATTTAATTATGATTTACGATAATGAATCTGTATAATAATAATACAGAATTTTAAAAAATTTTCAACTTTATAATTAATAATTATTTTTGTTATTTAAAAAAAATAGAATATTTAATTAATTTGGAAATAATTTATAATAATTATATATATATACATTATTGCACATTAATTCATTTCATTTAATTCAATTGTTTACTCGAATAAAAATTACTTTAAAATAAATTAATAAATTGAAAAATATAAAAAAAACATATATATGATTGGAAAAAATCAAAACGTATAATAAAATTTTTTAGTGCGATAAATGGTCGTCATATGATACTCTACCGTTTTATTTTTAAAACTCATAATAAATTCATAAGGTCTGAAAGCATGAAATGCAATTTTTATCGTGGACTTTTCAACGGTATTTTCGTGCCGTACTAAACATGATTAAAATAAATAGAACATTCTCTTTATCGAATATACATTTAATAAAATTACAACAATTAATATAATATTTAAAATAGAAATTATTTAATTTTTAATATTTTCAATATAAAAAAATATATTTATTATAATTCATAAACAATGAATTATGAATTAATGATTATGAATTATGAAATTATGAATATATGATAATAATCGATATATTAACAAATATTTGTTTTATATAAATTCCTTTTTTTTTTTTTTTACAAAATAATAAAAGATATTTTGACTTTTTTTCTGTATATATCTCCATTATATAATAGAAATATGTTAACATTCCGATATTTGACTTTTTTTGACGTTAAACAAAAATTTTATATCTCCTATGTATTACATTGCAATAAAATTTTAGTAGAGTCAATGAATTTGAAATTGTACGAGTCTTTTTAAATTTGTAACAATCATTGCATTATGCGTCGAATCGAGACGCTTCATTTTATCTCCATCTTATTTCCTCTCGTTCAAAACTTGAAGAATGACCCCCGAATCGATATTTTTTAATAACAATTTTTATGTTTGCTTCACTGTTTAAAATCGATTTTCCAAGCCGATCCTTCAAAGGTATCCCCATATACATTCGAACTTCTATACATAACTTGAAAACTTTTATGGAACTAGAATTTTATTCATTCTTTTCCTATCCCATTGAAAAAACTTCTACAAGTTAAAATATAAGTTATATATACTCTATATATAACTTAAATTATTTGCCACATATTTAAATGTATTATTTTATCTTTATATATTTTTACAATTCAAAAGAGAAAAGATTTCTACTTTTCTTTATTTGAGCCCTGATAATCTGATAATAAATATCAATGTTCGTATAGAATCTCTACAATATCAAATTTTCATATGTATAAATCCTCTTATTTGAAAATTTCAATAAGAACTTCCATAAATCAAA